CGTCCCATATGAAGTTTTGTATTCAATCAGCTGTGGCGCATAAAACATTTAAATATTTCGCAGATAACCTTCATATTCGAGATACACATTATATTATACAGAAAATGTACTAAGTATGCCCAATCTTTTTTCCTTAGTATATACTGAAAATTTTTAATAAGTAGCCATATTTATATATATATATATTTTTTGGTTATACTATAATATAATAGATGTACTCTGAACGTAGACACATTCTTTAGATAATAAAAATTTTGAACGAATATATTTTTAGTAATTTTTTGTATATAACTTAATTTTGAATAATAGCGTTTTCGATTACAATGAATTTTGTTTGCTCTAAGATTATGCATTTCAATTATTGTCGTCATAGTGCCTTTTCTGCATCTAAAGCAAAGTGGATCTAGAATATGAATATAGAAAGAACAAAATGTTGATGTTGATGTTGAAAAGAAAGAAAACAAAAAAAAAAGACAAAACAGGAAGCGCACTGTGACGACAATAAGTGCACGATGATGTCATTAATTGCGATCGACAATGCTATAAGAGAAATACAAATTTACTTTTCCAAAGTTCTCCGAATGTCCTCCGAATATTCAACATATGCTATTAAGAAAAATTCTCAAGATACAAGGATGCATTGATTTCTGTTAAAAGTGTCAAAAAATTGTCTCATCTAGTTGTATCATTATACACAAAAGTATTTCTTTGGTTATTAATTACACAACAATAATTTATAATGATAATATACATAGCGCGACAAGATTGTTGACGACAAACAGCGAAAACATATTATTATAGTTAAAGTTCGAAAGATGTCTTTCTACTTCATTATCGAAACGTAGCAAAAAAAATTGCGGAAAAGCTTGAAGAGTTCACATTGAAAAAATAGTTTTGCTAAAGCATCTAGAAATTTAGATAAAATATAAATCTTAAAATAATTTTGATGAACCATCAAAATAATTTTATTGTAGGACGTTCAAACTATTTGCTAAAATATAAAAAAATTTTTCAATTTTATTATATTATCATGCGTAAGCATCCTCCATATATATAATAATTTTGATGACTTAAAAATTATTTTCTTAGATCTGTATTTGACCAAATTTTTAGATCCTTCAGCAAAACTGTCTTTTCTTAAAAACAATCTATGAAGGAACTTACAGGATTAATGAAAATCAAAATTATTATTAACTTTTGTGGGACATACAACAAGATACATATGATTATGATATGTTATGCATCTCCACTTTTTGTTTTCTTTTCAAGTCTAGTGAATATTTTCAACATGTAATAATCTCTACTTTTCAGATATTTTTGCTTTTATTAAATGTGAACGTTGGATTTAAGCCATGCATGAACATACAAATCAAATAAAAAAAAATGAACAAACAATGAAAACGAACACAAAAATTGTTCATTCATCTCATTAAATTACCTAACATGATTATTATCACAAATGTATGTATGTGCATATATATATACACACACACACACACACACACACACACACATATGTTATTTTATATCTTATTTTGTTTATATTATATTATACAATATTATTTATATATGTAATATATAATAATAAAATATATTACATAATAAAAATAATATATATATATAGAAACAAATATATATATATATATATATATATATATATATAATAGTTTAATGCACGATTTAGAATACACGGAAAGAACACTTTTGCTGGCAAATCTAAAAATTTGGCAAGATACAGATCTGAAAACGATTTTGTTGGGCCTTCAAAATTATTATATACATGTTCAGATTAATTGTTAGAAGATCAAATATTTTTGTAGTATTATCATCATATTTAAGTGTTATACAAAATAATTTTGATGGGCTAACAAAATATGGATAATTCGCGCCATCGACTGGGCCATATAAATAAGTACGGTTACAAAGATGATGAAAATATGAAAAATGTCATGAGGTTATATGAGTTTGCAATTCTATAAAATTTTGCGCTGATATATACTTGTTATTACATTATATTTTTGCGATAATAATCATGTTAGAATTGAAATACGTAGAAATGAATATTCGTATTCCTTCAGTGATTTTTATAAATTCTTAACGAGGGATGATTTAATTTTTTATCACTTAATTTGTAATTGTAAAATCACAAACCTTAATTTTTAATTTTAAATTTATTTTGTTATATTTTCAACATATTATAGATGTTTTATTTACACATTCATATTTCGACAACAAAGTTGTCAGATTTTTCATTGTTTTTTTTCATGTTTTAAACATAGATCTTAATCTTAAATTTTAATCCTTCATTAATAACAGTACGTAGGAACAATGATATAATATACAAACATTTTATAGCTATAAACTCACATTGAATATTTTTTGTAAAAATGTGTAGTCATTAAATTATAAAATGAGTTTTAGCTCATATTATTAAAACCATTTACCGTAGAAAATATTAGCAAAATATGTACCTATGCAACAATCTTTGGTGCAAAAACATTTGTGAATTTTTAAAATAGCTCTTAATTTTCTTTAAGTTTTATAATATTTTAGTTTCACATAATATGTCTTTCTACATTCTATTACAATAGAATGAAGAAACGTGCAAGTTACTATCGATTAAAATAAGAAGAGACTTAATTAATTAATTAAAGTTTAATTAATTAAAAAAAATTATCATTTAAAATAATAATTAATTAATCTAGATTAATTAATGAAATCTGATTAAATATATATATATAAAATATATATTTAATTTTATATATATATATATATAAAAACAGATTTGCACCAGGCAATTTTTTTAAAAAAAAGTGTTTAACTAATAGTACTAATAGTACTTAACTAATAGTACGTATTATTCATTACACTATACAATTTTATTGCAATAAAGTTAGACGTCATATTCCTTATACTATATAAATACTTATTAATATAAAAATATTCACACTATATTTTTAATCACATAATATTATTCATCACACTGTATAACTTATTGCAATAAAATTAAGTGGGAAAACAAGAAAAAAAAAAAAACAAGGCAACATTTTCGCATGTATCATTACCTCATAAAAAATAATTGCTACGCTGGTATTGGAACTGTGTGTAATACTGTTGACGAAGGTACTCCTGGTAGTGGTATTCTTGAAATTTCGGTAAGCATTCCGCCGCACCAATTGGTGTGTACATAGGCGAGTACATGTGCGAGTACAAATTGCCAAATGGTGGTTTGGTCGGCAACAGCGATAACGATGATAGCATTGGTCCAGACGATGTTACCTGGTTCAGTGATTTAGGTGGAAGAGAGATAGGCAATTTAGATGGACGGGGGGTAGACGATCTAAGTGAAGGGAGGGTAGGAAGTCTAGATTCTGGGAGTAGCCAAGGTCTGTGAAAAGACACCTGATTTTCATTATCTGTTCTAGATGGAGGCTCCTGATTTCCATTCCGATTCGCATCAACGGGCACCAATGGTCTCTCGGTGTTCGATACATCGTTCGTATTGTTTTCGAGAACATGTCTTATTGGTGACCTCAAGTTCTCTAAAATATTTGCGTTCGATTCGTTCGTGACTTGACTCGAGTCAGAATCGTATGATTTATTATTCATTTCGTCATCCGTACGATTGGAATCGTCGGTTAAAACGTCCGCTTGGAACGCCTGCTGATACTTGCGTTTGAATCGCGATTGTCCCGTCTCACGGAAGCCTTTTGCAAATGGATTATGATCGATCTTCAACTTTGTTATATTATCATTCTGCAGGAATAACACAATAACGTGGGAGTTAGATATTTAATTATCATGAGAGAAAAATTACGCAGTTATTTTACATTCCACAAATAAGACATTTCTCGCTTGATGTAAAAATAATAATAAAATGTAATAATGATACAGAAGGATAAAAACAAGAAACATGAAAATTTAAGCAAATTTAATTTATCTTAAATTTTTTTAATGTTACGGAATTGTAAAAGTAAATATTTTTTATAACAATTTTATTTGTTTCTTAAAAATTTTATTTTCAAGTTACTTACTTGATATGCTGTTACTGCGATAAATTCGGTTTCTTTGAAAACGAACGTCGCGGACGGAGAAGAAAGAAGCGTGTTAAGATTCGTCTGTTCACAACGAACTATCCAGATTTTTGGTACGTACTTGTGCATCGATGTTAACACTATCTGTAAATACAAATGCAAACTCTTTTTTGAATATTGTGTACAAAAGATAAACTGTCTTAACTTAAAGAAATATATATATGTATAGACAATTACTTGTAAAATTAAAGTGTGACTTTTGGTGGCATTCATTCATCATTAAAAAATGGAAATCATTAGAGAATCTTTAGAGATTAATTTTTATATTTTCATATTTATAACGTTTCGTCTGAACGATGCGATTTATCAACAACAACTGAAAAACATGAAAACATTTCAAAATACGCCGTTCGGCCGTATTTCGCTGTTACTTGTAAATAAGTTTTGCTCCTTGGGAATTTTTTTTATTTTCCAATGTTAAATGCGAAAAAAGGCCACCATTACGCGGTATCTAAATTGAAAAATGATCCTTAGAAAGAAGCAGAGGACGACGGGAGACGAAAGAAAAGACCCTCTCTGTTAGTTGAGGCTCGAGATGAAAATGGAGGGGCACGATGGAAGAGACGAAGCGCCGAGAATTTTATTAAATTCATAATTAGTTTGAAGAACCGGGTAAAAGGGGCGCCGCTTTTTCGAGATAAGTTGGCGCCTCGCTAAAGAGGCCGACGGTAGACACAGACGCGATTCCCGAAAACCAGACTAAGCCCTGCAACCTTCTCGGAATCACGTGTCTTCGCGCTACCGAGGATCTCTTGTACGAATCTAGAGCGAGATGCACCACTTCAATCTGGTATTCGTTATTGGTGTTCCAGATCATTATTGGAGTTTATTACGAGTTCTTGAGAGTTTGACAATATTCTTTGCGCAGTTAAAATATCTTCATATTTTATTGTGAAAACTATCTCATGGAGCACTTTTTTTTAACAAATTTCTGAACTCTAAACAATTTAATGTTTATATACAAATGTAATTTTGTATAATTATAGCGAAGTAATTCTTAAAAATGTAAGCCGATATAACGAGATTTTCTTCTTTGACTGACTTCAAGTAAATGTTTATATGAATTATCAGAGTACTATATAAAAAAAGGTTTCAATTATTTATCCATTTTTCTATTTCTATTTTCCATAAATATTTCTGCCTATACAAAATTTTTGCTTAGTGATATTTATAAATTGTCTTGTGATATTTTCATAGACAATCTGACTATGCTATCGCATTAATTTCTTATTTTTCTTTTTTTAATTCCTGGTACTTTAATAAAAAAGAAATTCAAGTTTCTCAAAATATAAATCCAATCTGGAATTATTTGAAAAGAAAAATTTCGCCAATCTCCACACTTCTTTTTAGAAAATATCTTAAAAAATAGTACAACTCTGAAATCATTTACAATTTAAAATCTATTGACGTCTGTAGAATCGGACATGATCAAACTGTTTCCACGTAGGTACTTTAGATAGATTAGGGAGATTAAATCGTTTCTCCGCCGGAATCTCTTTTGAGATTAGATCTTATACGTTTCCAAAGGTGACGAAATTAAGATAAACGGACAACAATTGTGAATCCCTTGTTTGTTGCCGCTGGATAGCCGCGGATAAAATCGGATTAACGCGGCGCGTTTCATGCACGTATCGGCTCGAATGAGCACAATGAAAGGCAATGGTGCCGCCGAGCTTTTCTTCTGTGGTCTTCGGCATCCGTGGACGTGGAAAGCAGAGCGGCGTCTTCACACTACATCACACGACGGCGACGGTGACGGCGACAGCAACGGCAACGGCAACGGCGACGGCGACGGCGACGGCGACGGCGGCGGCAGCTACTCTGTCGGCAAATCACCCGCCCTCGTTCAGCGATGTAGGGAGGTATATCGATTACACAGTATCTTGGAGCGTATTAATCTCTGCATTCAGGGCACAGACGCAGAATCGCCTGTCGGCGTACCGCACACCAGCTTGAGTAGCTTAAATCTCCCTCCGAGAAATGCGCCGCCGACGCCCCCCCCCCC